TCCCCACCCCCGACCTCATCCCAAGACCAGCCCCCTTCTCATCCCCGTCTCATTGACCTGTCTGTCTTCTCTCCCACCTATCCGCTCCTCCCACCTCACTGACCAATACCCACCACAACCTAGCTACAGTCACCTTTATTAGCTTCATCCCCGCCTCCTTGACCTGTCCATCTTCTCTCCCACCTATCCGCTCCACTATCTATATGCTATCATCCCTCCCCTCTCTATTTATTTCCGAGCCCCCTTCCCCTCCCCCATTTCTGAAAAATCTCTGAAAAGGGTCCCAACCCGAAACGTCAGCTTCCCTGCTCCTCTGATGCTGCCTGGCCTGCTGTGTTCATCCAGCTCCACACTGTGTTATCTCAGACTCCAGCATCTGCAGTTCTCACTATGTCTGAGGGAGATATTATACAGTTGAGATTACATGAATCAGGGATAATGTTATACCAGTCCAGGTTGCACCAGTCAGGAGTAATGACACAACAATTAGAGTTACACTGGTCAATGGGAATTTTATACCAGTTGAGGTGACACTGATTAAGTCAGTGAGCAGTAGGAGGAAAGGAGTGGCTTATGTAGGAGTGAGCAAAAATGCCAGCATTTAGAATACTGGACCAAAATCCCTGGGCAATGCTCTGGAATACACAATCATGGGGATAGCCGTCTGGAGCCTTGGTTCAGTTAGAAATCCTATTCACACCTCAACCCTAAAGGAACAATGAACCAGATGTAAGACAACAACTTCAGACATCTTGGACTCTTCAGAGGTACCAAGGCACTCAACTTCAATTAATATTCATTCGCAGAAATACTGCACATTCCACTGAATCAAAACACCTTTACACCTACTCTAAACTATCAGGAAGCCAATTCACCACAAAGGGGACAACAGAAACACAATGGATAACACAGATTTGAGAGGTGATAATGGAGCACAAAGTCCGTGTAACTGCTGGCTCTGAGCTGGGAAAGAGAGAGAGAGAGAGTCACCCCTGCAGCTAGCAACAGAAGAGGGATCCCAGACAGCTACTCTCCCTGAGAACGATCTGCACAGCTATATCCCTGAAACAAGGCTGTTCGGTACCAGGGGAACCTATGGCAACCGACCATGACCAGCAGATCTAACGACCGATATGACTGACATGGTCTCAGACACATCCTGAGGTGAAAACTGGCTCATGAAACCACCACAGAGTAAGAAAACACAAGTTCTCAAACCAGTCTGAGGGCCTACACCGTCCAAAGTCTTCAGTGAAGCACCGGCTAGAGAAAGTAGAAACAGCCAGCTGTATTTCAAAATCGTGTTTATCCCCAGTGGTGAGCTTATTTCCTAGAGAACCGAAGTGCCCAACCGAGCGAGCAGGGAGGGGAAGGTGGGTTGGTGACAGTGCAGTGAACCCCAAATTCAGGAAGTCTGATTAGAGTGTCTGTGTTTGAAACTACTATTTAGGTTTCTAATGGTAACTAGCCTGTATTAAGTTAATAACTGATAGTATCAGTTTCACTGTTTTGAATTTGTCTCTTTTTATCTCTTGTATTTTATTCACCTTTGTGTTATCTGTTTATTATTTTTGCCTTTTTATTTCTTGTGATATACTCATCTTTGTACTTAATAAACGCAGAGATTCTTTGCCCTGAAACAACTGTCTACCGCCTTCTTCACTTCACATTCCTAAATTAAGTGCAGTGTCAGAACCAGGGACGTGGTGGGTGATCCAGGCTGCCGGAGAGGTCTGACATAACAAGGTGTAGAGCCGGATGAACACAGCAGGCCGAGCAGCATCAGAGGTGCAGGAAAGCTGACGTTTCAGGCCTAGACCCTTCTTCAGAAAAGGGGGAGGGGAAGGGGATTCTGAAATAAATAGGGAGAGAGGGGGAGGCGGATAGAAGATGGATAAAGGAGAAGATAGGTGGAGAGGAGACAGACAGGTCAAAGAGGCGGGGATGGAGCCAGTAAAGGTGAGTGTAGGTGGGGAGTTAGGGAGGGGATAGGTCAGTCCAGCGAGGACGGACAGGTCAAGGGGGCGGGATGAGGTTAGTAGGTAGGAGATGGGGGTGGGGCTTGCGGTGGGAGGAGGGGATAGGTGGGAGGACAGGTTAGGGAGGCGGGGATGAGCTGGGCTGGTTTTGGGATGCGGTTGGGGGAGGGGAGATTTTGAAGCTTGTGAAATCCACATTGATACCATTGGGCTGCAGGGTTCCCAAGCGAAATATAAGATGCTGTTCCTGCAACCTTTGGGTGGCATCATTGTGGCACTGGAGGAGGCCCAGGATGGACATGTCGTCTGAGGAATGGGAGGGGGAATTGAAATGGTTCGCGACTGGGAGGTGCAGTTGTTTAGTGCGAACCGAGCGTAGGTGTTCTTCGAGGCAGTCCCCAAGCCTCCGCTTGGTTTCCCCGATATAGAGGAGGCCACAACGGGAACAGCGGATACAGTATACCACATTAGCAGATGTGCAGGTGAACAAATGCTTGATGTGGAAGGTCTTCTTAGGGCCTGGGACGGGGGTGAGTGGGGAAGTGTAGGGGCAGGTGTAGCACTTCCTGCAGTTGCAGGGAAAAGTGCCGGGTGTGGTGGGGCTAGAGGGGAGTGCGGAGCGGACAAGGGAGTCATGGACAGAGTGGTACCTCCGGAAAGCAGATAAGGGTGGGGAGGGAAAAATGTTTTTGGTGGTGGGGTTGGACTGCAGATGGTGGAAGTGTCGGAGGATGATGTGTTGGATCCGGAGGTTGGTGGGGTGGTACGTGAGGACGAGGGGAATTCTGTTTTGGTTGTTATTGCGGCGAAGGGGTGTGAGGGATGAGTTGTGGGAAATACGGGAGACACAGTGGAGGGCGTTCTTGACCACTGAGGGGGGGAAATTGCGGTCCTTGTAAAACGAGGACATCTGAGATGTTCGGAAGTGGAATGTCTCATCCTGGGAGCAGATACGGCGGAGGCGAAGGAATTGGGAATAGGGGATGGCATTTTTGCAGGAAGGTAGGTGGGAGGAGGTGTATTCCAGAATATTCCACAGATTAACCACCCTCTAACCAAAAGTTCCTCATCTCAGTTCTAAAGTGTCCCTTCACTCTGAGGCTGTGCCCTCAGGTCCTCGTCTCTCCTACTAGTGGAAGCATCTTTCCATGTCCACTCTGTCCAAGCCATTCAGTATTCTGTAAGTTTCAATCAGATCCCCTTTCATCCTTCTAAACTCCATTGAGTACAGACCCAGAGTTCACAACCCTTCCTCATATGTCAAGCCCTTCATCCTCGGGATTGTTCTCGTGAACTTCCTCTGGAACCCCTCCAAATGTCAGCACACCCTTAGATTTTGGCCCAAAAATACTCACAATATTCCAAATGTGATCTGACCAGACCTTATTCAGCCTCAGCAGTAAATCTCTGTTCTGTATTCTAGTCCTCTTGAAATGAATGCTAACATTGCATTTGACTTCCTAACTGCCAACTGAACCTGTATGGTGACTTTAAGACAATCCTGAACTAGGGTTCCCAAGTCTTGGTGTTTCAGATTTCCAAAGCCTTTCCCCATTTAGAAAATAGTCTACACCTCTATTCTTCCTAACAAAGTGCATAACCTCACAATTTCCCGCATTGTATTCTATCTGCCACTTCTTTGACCACTCTCTCAGCATGTCCATGTCCTTCTGCAGCTTCCCTGCTTCCTCAACATGACCTCTCCCTCCACCTTTCTTTGTGCCATTTTGTTTCTGAGCTCGTCATTGCGGACCATTTTGATAAAGAAAGCCTTCAGACCTAAAAGCCAGAGCATCTGTATATCTGGGTGAACATAGACACACCAGGAATTAAATGGGGAACATTTACTACAATATTTTACTGGAATATATCATTACATCAAAAAGTGATCAGAAATGGTTGTGGGGGATGGGGGGGGAGGTAGGGGAGTCCTTGTAATCAGTAAAACTGAACTGGACAGCCCCTAAAAATGTGTCTTGTAATGAGAGATTAACTTGCACCCACTGAACTGAATTTTACCCTGGAGAGAGGGTCTTCACCTCTGAGGTAATGTCAGGGTCGAGCTTTAGAATCCCAACAGTGTGGAAGCAGGTTATTCGGCCCATCAAGTCCACACCAACTGAAGAGCATCCCACCCACTCCCACCCTCCTATCGTAACCCTGTTAATCCACCCATCCTGCACATCCCTGGACACTATGGGGCAATTTAGCATGGCTAATCCAACCTAACCTGCACATCTTTGGACATCAGTCTGACCACCTCACCCTGCAGCCAGAAGGAAACGCAAAAGGTTTGTGAGCGCTTTGAACCTTGGGGGATAGTTTAATGCAATCAAGCTGGACTTTGAGGTAAGTCTGGAGTCTTACTGGGCTAGGCTGACAAGCCTTGGGAAGGGCAGGGGAGGTTGGGGTGGATAAGGCATCAGGCAAGAAGAAGGTGGTGATGAATGGGGAATGGAGGCAAGGCCAGGTCCCTTCCTAGACCAGCCACCAACCTGGCCCGTGAAAGGGAAAGGACTGGGCAATTGGTGCCGCATTGACCCAGAGCAGATAAAATAACATTTGGGGAAGGAGATGACCCTCACGTAGCTACTAACTGTCCATTTCAAGGCATCAATTCACCATGGATGGGCAGGTAAATTGACTCCATCGACATGGGTAAAACAGTAACAGAAGCGGGGGGCTGATAGTTTTGTTTGGGTTAAAGTGACACCTAGTGTTACAATCCCCACCCCTGCCCGCTTTCCCCTTGTATCTTCCCTGCATAATAGACATAGCTTCACCTCACACTGATACACTTAATACAAGCTTCTCACCCACACATCACACAGAACTGTACACAAGCAGGATTACAGTAAATGCAAACTCTTTTCCTTTAAGTTAAACTACAAAGGCATTTTCCCATCACAAATACTCAGTGCAAACTAAACCTAGATGGTGCTGCAGCTATCACAATGAAGCATGCTGCAGGCATGGTTGTGCTTCAGAACATGATCCTTGGTTACACTACAAAGAGCCTACCTCGTGAGGAAGTCACTGAAAGATAGCCTCAAAGGGTATCCATGGCGGATCATCTTCACCATCTCCAGGACACCAATGTACTGCAACTGAGCTGATACATAGAAGTTGTCAAACATTTCAGCCTGCCTGGATGTGTTGGGTTTGATGCAATGCACAAAGTGAGGAGTTGAATTCTGGAGCTTTCCCATTATATCACGAATCGAACTCTACAAGGAGGAGGAAAGCAAGAAGGATTTAATACTTCTTTTCCATTTGGATCTCTAAAAAAGATTATTTTTGGCAAAATTATTATTCATCATGAGAAATAGCAATCAGAAAATCCATTTTCATTATCTGACGTTAGCAAGTAAGCTACTTTTAAAACCATGCAAGTAAGAAATGATGCCGGTTAATACACATAATGAACATAAACATATTCTATTCATTCAAGATTACTGGCTGCTCTAAAATACTTACCCTAAGCTGGGAAGCCAGCGTTGTGGGCCCACCCCACTCTAATCGTTGGAGAAACGTTGCTGTTGTCTTCTTTTTCAGGAACTTAGAGAAAGGAGAAACAATACAATTGAAAAAACAGATGATTTGGTTCATCATAAGGATGATTTAGCTCCTAATGTATTCTTCACAAGCAAAATACAATGGATACTGAAAATTCAAAATGAAATTAAGAAAAACACAGTCAAGACTAGAAATACTCAGCAGATCATGCAGCATCTACGCAGAGAGAAACTATAGCTATCAGATCTACCACCTCAGATACAAACAGGCTTAATTTTCAGAGTTAGGATTGCACAGCAAGTACCATGCTGTCAGAGAAATCAAGTGTGTAAGGTCCACAATTTTTTTTTGTATAATCATTTTGAATCCGTATTATACCTTTATCCTGGTTCTAACGTCGCCAGTATGGGGAAACATAGAGATAGCAAGGTGTAGAGCTGGATGAACACAGCAGGCCAAGCAGCATCAAAGGAGCAGGAAGCTAATGTTTTGGGTCTGGACCCTTCTTCAGAAATTATTTTTCTGGGACATACTCTCTTTCCACCTTGTCATGTCCTTCAAGAATTCTGTCAGTTGCAATGAGATCATCTCAAAATGTTCTGCAAAACTCTAGGAATACAGATTAGGTTTCCTCAATCTCTTCTTGTAAAACAATTCCACCAGCTCAAAGATTAATCCGGTGTACTCTCACTATGGGATGTATATTCTTCATGAGAGAAGGAGAACAAAACTGACCACAATATACCAGGTAAAGTCTCACCAAAGTTCTATATAACTGTAGCAAGGCATTTTTACTTCTATACCCAAATCCTCTTTAACTAAGTCCAACATAGTGTTTGCTTTTCACATTTCTTGCTGTCCCTGCATGCCTGCTTTTAATGACTCATGGACAATGGCAACCATTTCCTTTCAGACATCCACACTTTCCAAATGCTCATCTCCCAACCTGCCTTCTGCTTTTTGTACCAAAATTACAGATGGTTTGCTAATCTGTTCTTTGACTGTTTTTATTTAATAATTTCTTTTTTTTGCTCCCTTGTTATCATCACACTAACCAAGAGAAGCAATCTATCACCAGTTACTCTTTCTTGGTTTGATAATCCTAGATATCCCTAGCACTCACTCACCAACCATCTCAACACTGGTGTAAAAATACCTAACTTGTGAAATCTCTATCCATGATTGTAACACTTCATCTCAACAACATGCATGGGAAAAATACTATCTAGTTCCTATGACTTTCATATCATTGCTCTAAACCATGTGAAATCTTTCTATCTCATAATCCCACGATATTAAGTTACAAAATACGTTGCATCACATTGTCGTATTGGAGCGTTTGAGCTATAAGGAGAGGCTGAATAGCCTGGGGTTATTTTCCCTGGAGCATCAGAGGCTGAGGACTGGCCTTTTAGAGGTTTATAAAATCCTGAGAGGCATGGATAGGGTGAATAGCCAAGGTCTGTTCCCCAGGGTAAGGGAGTCCAAAACAAGAGGGCATATGTTTAAGATGGAAAGATTTAATGGGGACCTAAGGGGCAAATTTTTTCATGCAGAGGGTGGTGCATGTATTGAATGAGCTGCCAGAGGAAGTGGTGGAGGCTAGTACAATTACAACATTTAAAAGGCATCTGAATGGGTACATGAATAGGAAGGATTTAGAAAGATATGGGCCACATGCTGGCAAATGGGACTAGGTCAGATTGGGATGCCTGATCGGCACAGACAAGTTGAACCAAATGATCTGTTTCTGTGCCATATGACTGTATGACTCTAAGATAGCCTTTTAAAAGTTGTAATTGTACCTTCCTCTGCCATTTCCTCTGGCAGCCCATTCCACACTCGCACTACTCTCTGCATGAAAGTCTTTTTAAAACATTTTTCTCTCTCACATACATGTGAACGTAACGCAGCATTTCTCAAATAAATGGGTGAATGCATTGTAAGGTCATCATTATGAATTATTTTCATCTATGAAAAATGCTTAAAAAAATCTATTTTCAATTGGACTTAATGGAGGGAGAGAGAGTTTTTTCTGAAGAAGGGTCTAGGCCCGAAACGTCAGCCTTCCTGCTCCTCTGATGCCGCTTGGCCTGCTGTGTTCATCCAGCTCTACACCTTGTTATCTTGGACTTAATGGAGCTATTTTCTGAGTTTAGACTGTCCATGGCACCTTCCACTGAACGTGGGATCCTTGGCGGTCAGCTGTTGAATTTCTATTCAATTAATTAAAGCCTGGTACTCTGCGACTAAGCCAATCAGCTGAAAATGTAAAAATTGTCCAGAGATTTGTAGTGTTATACAAAAAAAAGCTTTACTTTCCCTGTAAATTTAACACTCATCACACCAGCCGTCAGTTTATGATAAGGTTGATGTGCATGTTTATATAAGAAGAGTTCAGACAATTTCGCACCCAGTACCTTGCTGTTAATGTCCAGAAACTTTTTTGGTCCTTTGGTTCGTGAAGTAGAACATCGATTCTGTGACAACATCAATGCTTTGGACCCTCTAAGGCTCAAGTGATGATGTAAGGGAATAAGAGAACCAGTTTGGGTCAGTTTGGACTGGAAGAATTGGTGAATAACAACATTTTCGCTGGCTGCAAATTCGAGAGAAGAGTATTATTAATAACGTGATTCTAAAACTAAAGTTATATATATGCCAAATTTCCATCTCACTGATTACTTTGATTTCTCTCAGAAATTTGTTCTGATTTCTATGAATAAATTGATTAAAGTGAAATAATCTTAAATACTACCTTGGAAAAAACCTCTCTCATATTTCAGAGATAGTAGGAACTGCAGATGCTGGAGAATCTGAGATAACACGGTGTAGAGCTGGATGAACACAGCAGCATCAGAGGAGCAGGAAGGCTGACGTTTCGGGCCTAGACCCTTCTTCAGAAACGTCAGCTTTCCTGCTCCTCTGATGCTGCTTGGCCTGCTGTGTTCATCCAGCTCCACACTGTGTTATCTCTCTCATATTTGCCTCGTCTCCTTTTGCCTTAAATCTGGGTTGTCTGGTTAACTACATGTCTCACTGGAAAAATTCCTCCAATTAATTATTTGATGAAAATCCTTCGTGGATTTGAACACCTTCATCAAATCCCTCCTCAATGTTCCTGCTCCAAGGAGAAAAAACTGACCTTCTCCACTCCTTCCACGTCAGTATAATCTCAGAAGCTACATTAGTAAATCAAAACTGTTCTCTCACAAAGTCCAGAATCCAGGTCGGTCACAACCATTGTTGTATAAAGGTTAAGCACAACTTCCTTTTCAATGTACTATTTGCCTCTGTTTACATAGCCAAAGATCTCATATGCTTTATTGATTGCTGATGTATTCAACACATTATCAAGTAAAGCATTCTAAATCCTAAGAACTTGTTGCATTTAAGAACACTTGTCATAATAACGTTGCTTCTTTTGACAATCACTTCAAATCTGTGCCCACCAAACCTCCAATCTTTGGAAATAGTATCATTTTTATTTATTGTATCTAAACCATTCATGATTTTAAATACTTTCTTCCCCTTTGATCTAAGCAGAACAACTCAAGTTTCTCCACTCCATTCAGGTAACTGCAATCTCTCACCCATGGAACCATTCCAATAAATCTCTGCTGCATCCCTATCCCCCCCCAACAGTCTTTACACCTTTCCTGAAGGGTGCTAACCGGAACTGGACACAGTAGTTCAGCTGGGGTTGAACTCATGTACTTAGAGTCGTAGAGTCATACAGTACGGAAACAGACCCTTCTGTCTAACCAGTCCATGCCGAACATCATTCCAAACTAAACTAGTCCCCCCTTGCCTGCTCCTGGCTCATGTCCTTCCAAACCTTCAAGGGTTTCATCATAACCTCCTTGCCATCCTACTCTTTGCCTCTATTTCTAAAGCTGAGAATTCTCTATTAATTATCAATTTATCCTTCTGATATTAAAGACTTTTACATTTATCCCCAGAATTCTCTGCCCTGTTGTCCAGTTAAAATTGATCACCTTAGTTTCCCCAAATCTTACGATCAGAGAATCACTTAGCACAAACGAAGAATGGTTTGGTGGAATTTTTTGTGGTTATGCCAGGAACGACTGAGTAAACTCACCAAATCCTAAAGGGCAAACCTACTAAACAGGGTGCAAGACAGGGGGTGAAGGAACCAACAAAAGGGAAATACCTACTAGCCATGTCCTCATAAATCTACTTGTCACAAGTGCATCTGCCCATGATAGGGTTGGTAGGAGTGACAACTACAGAGACCTTGTAGAGATGAAGTCCCCTCTTCACACTGAGGATATACATTATGTCATACGGCATTACCACAATGCTTACTGGGATAGATTTTGAACAGATCTAACAATTTAAAACTGGGCACCCATTCTGTTGCTGTGGGCCGTCAGCAACAGTAGAATTTTATTCAACCACAATCTGTAACCTCTGAGCCTGGCACAATTCCTACTCTACCATTGTCACCAAACCAAGGAATGAACCAATATTTAATAAAGAATGTAGGAAAACATGTCCTGAACATCATCAGCAAATTTTAATATGAGAATTTACCCTGGTGATACTACCACAAAAGATCACTTGCATGTCAAACAGTGGAAGCAGGATACGATAGGCAGAACAAGCTGATCTTACAATAACCCATCAGATCTAAGGGTAGCAATCCTGTCACATTCATTCATGAATGGTGGATGACAATTAAACAATAAACAGGAGGAAGAGGCATTATAAATATCCTATCCGCAATGATGGGGGTGGTTTTATCAGTGCCAAAGGGAAGATATGAAGCTCCTGACGTCATTAGAGCCTTGATAAGAATGCAGAGAAATGCACTGAATTCCAGAGGTGAGGGGACAGTGACTGCCCTTGAAACCAAGTATGGCATTATGAAATCCTAGGAAAACTGGAGTTGATGGGAATTGAAGTAAAGAATTGAGCTGGAGTTACAACAAATGCAAAAAAAAGGTTGTGTTTTTTAAAGGTCAGGCATGTGACATCATTTCAGGAGTACCTCAGGGTAGTGCATTAGATGTGACCAGGGAGGAAGATGCATTACAGAAAGGCTACCTACAAATTCCCCCGTAAAGCATGTCACCCAGACTTGAAAATAAACCACTGTTGCTTTACCATTGCTGGGCCAAGATCATGGGACTCTGTTCCTAATAGCACTGTAGGTGGCCCTACAGCCCAAACACTGCAGCAGTTGAAGAAAATGGCTTATTGCCATCTTCTAAAGTGCAATTAGTGATTTGCTGGTTCAACCAGTGAATAAATAAGGACATTCTTACAACTGGGGCATTTAAATTCATTTAACTAAATAAAACTGGTGTTAGAACTACGAGATAGTCTTAAGAGGCCATTTGGTTCAGTAATGAGCTTGACCAAGATAAATTTTGCACCAAACTTAATCAGTCTGGCCGATAGTGACTCAACTCCTGTAGTAATGTAGTTGACAATTAATTGCATTCTGAAATAGCTAAGCTGTGAGTAAACCATTTGAGAAGGTGGATCACCAGCATCTATTCAAGCACAACTGAGAAGAGGCAATAATACAGGCTTTACCAACATCCAATCCTCTGAATGAATAAAATGGTCACTCTACCCATTGAGCTCATCCCTCCAAAAAAAATTGCAAATCCTCCATCATAGTGTCCATTTCAGGTTAATTATAAAATTGGCCACCACTTGTTTCCTTATCTAATTAAATGTTAAAATATTTGATGTATTAAGCAAACCTAGCAATTTTGTTAATACTTGCTTAATATTTTCTAACATTGAGGTGGATTCCATTCCCGGTGCTGCTCAGGCTGTAGCCAGACTATTCTTTGTGTCTTGGGTTAACTCTATTGGCTGGATTGCTGGTTTGCAAAGCACAGCGATGCCAACAGCATGACTTCAGTTCTTGCAATGGATGAGGGTACCATGAAGGATTTCTCAACCTCTCCCCTCATCTGAGGCATGGTGACCTTCAGCTTAAAACACTGCCAGTTATTTCTCCTAAATGAGAGCAGCCCAGTGGGACTATGGGACTATGGAAACTTTACCTCTACCTGCTATAACTTGGATCAATCCCATCAAAACTCCCTTCATGTGAAAATGGTCTGTTCATAAAATTGCTGCTTGTAAGAAGACATGGATTTGGGAAGAGCTTTATTGTCACAGATGTGATTTTGGGATTTTTGTGAAATATGTTTGTGTGCTGTTCAATGTAGCAATCGCAGTCAAAGGGAACTGGGAAACCATCACAGACAACAAGGTGCAGGGCTGGATGAACACAGCAGGCCAAGCAGCATCATAGGAGCAGAGAGGGAAACCATCAGCTGGCAGCACAGCACTGAGCTCTCAGAGAAATTTGACAATGACACTGGTTTAATTGTTATACACGGAAGTACATTTGCAAGTGTTGATTGAATTTAAAAGGGGAGCACGTTCCTGATATTTGTAAATGTATCAACATTACAAAGATGAATTAAAAGAAGAGTTGTGAGCTCTGATTATTTTCTCCATCTGGATTGTTTAAGGTCAAAACTTATAGCAGTGTCAGAGGAGGAGCCTGTGAGTTTGCCTACCTACACGTTTTGATAGATAACGGTATCGGAATGCTCACTATTTGAAATTCCATAATATATAAATCCAAGGAAAAATACTAGAAATGCAACAGTGCTAAAAGGAATGTAGGAAAAATCATATAAACATGATTATGAATATTACACAGAAGTAAAAATATATTCATTCTCAGCTGGTAGCATGCAATAATTTTAGACACATCTGAAGCAAGGTCTATTAATTAAAAGTAGATGCTTATAAAACTGAGCATTGTTAGTATTTTGTTCAATATCTTTCTTCTTCCACTGTTTCATCAAGTCGATTGGTGAGCTATAAAGTGCCTAATTTCACTCTGGGTGAAAACCATTATATTCAAATCACTTCCCTTGCCCTTGAAGTTATCTCAATGTCTGAGGAATCTTCATTTCCATTCTGCCTCTCCACTTCTGGTTTTTCTCTCAGCTCTGCACTTGAAATAACTCTTGGAGGATCTGACTTTTAATTTAGTTCCTAATCCATCAAGCTTGTCCTAGATCTCCTCCGTCTTGTTCTTACTTACATCACTGATCTATGATGTCACATGTTTCTTCTTTACATTCCAGTTTTTCTACATGATCTAGTGACCAGACGACAAATTCTTCGAAGTACCTTCCCACTGTTCAGGATTGGAGTATAACTACAAGTACAAAGTGAGCTTTGGACAGACTGCCTGGCAACTTTTTTTCCCATTTTATTCAAAAATCTTTTTTGTGTTTAAAACGAGCAAACTTTTAAAAAATATTTGTGCTTGAGATATGGGTGTCATTGGCTAAGCCAAAAGTTATTGTCCATCCCTAATTACCCTGGAGAAAATGGTGGGAAGCTGCCCTCTTAAACTGCTGCATCATTTCAGTGTAGGAACAGCCACGGTGCTGTTAGGACGGAAGCTCTGGGATTTCGACCCAGCATCAGTGAAGGAATGTCAATATGGTGCAAAGTCAGGATCGCCTTGGAGCACATCTTGACAGTGATGATGCTCCCATGCACGTGCTGCCCTTACGCCTCTAGGTG